ACACATTCAAGAAACTGGGCAGAAGAGAAGTTGCCAGCCCTGCCCTTGAAAACTTGCTGAAGGGCGCACACCATGTTACATTGTGGTGTTAAAAATTCTACAGCTGTGTTCATGCTTCAACTTGCAGGGAAGTGCAAGGGGAAAGAACTTTCTCGGCTTAAATTTTCACGCAGGGCACTCGGGCTGAAAACATAGAAGCCAACCTCGGCTCCCCCAACCTACAGTTCTTTAATGAGCTTTCAGAATACTGTACAGTGGTGCCTCGCAAGACGATTGCCTCGTGGGACGATTAATCCGCAAGACGATTGCTTTTTGCGATCTCTGTTGCGCTTCGCAAGACTATGTTTTCTATGGACGATTTTCGCAAGACAACGATTTTTCCCCATTGGAACACATTAAGTAGATTTCAATCCATTCCAATGGGGAACTGCGTTTCGCGAGACGATGGTTTCACAAGATGACGTATTTCGTGGAACAAATTAACATCGTCTTGCGAGGCACCACTGGATAGGGCAATAAGTCCATTCAAAATCTGTTAGGAGAGCATTCTCATGATGGCAGAAACACGGGTCAGTGAAAAAATGGCAGTGATGATGTGATGGCTAGTGTCTTTGGTAGCATTTCTAATTCTAAAGTGATTAAAAACCAGCTCAGACATCCATGTCTTATTCTTTCAAATCCCGCATGTCTGGGATTTGGAGCAGCGATTATGTCTGTAGCTGGTTTTAACAGAGTAAGCAGCCCAATGCATTTATAATGCCAAAACCAGAGACATTTTATAGGCTTCAAAGGGAAGAAATAGCTGGATACAAGCCACAAGACAGCTTTTGCCTCTTTATTTAAGATTATTTTAAGATAACGGCAAGGATATATGCAAGTCCGGCCGAAGGACCATCTCTCTGGCAGGGTGCAAAAGACCGTTTGCCAGGATTTACACCCAACAGCTTAAACCAGACATTCTGGGTGGGGAGGGAAGGAAAGCAGGAAGCTCTGAATCCATGTGGCATTCCTAAAATGTTTTCAGAATTGCAAAGCCAAGCACAAAATCTGCAGCTTATGAGCAAACGGAGAAAGAAAGAGAGAGAGGAGATGTAGAAATCCAGAGTGTCTCTTAGAAGTAGTTCTGGAAGTAATAAAACTACAAATTGCAATTTGGCAGTACAGTGGTGCCCCGCTTGACGCTGAAATTGCTGGACGATGAGTTTTTTGCAATCGCAAAACGATGATTCAAATGGGGTTTTCCGTTTTACGACAATCAGTTCCCTGCTTTGGGAACCGATTTTTCACTGCACGACAATCAATAACAGCTGATTGTCGGGTTTTCAAAATGGCCACCCGCTGTTTTCCGGACCTATTTCCGGAAGACAGCGATGCAAAATAGCTTCCCCTATGAAGGATCTTTGCTGGATGAGCAGGTATTTCCCCCACTGGAACGCACTGACCAGTTTTCAATGCATTTCAAAGAGTTTTTTGTTTTTGCTTGACAATGATTTTGCTGTACAGAGATTTTGCTGGAATGCATTATCGTCGTCAAGCAAGGCACCACTGTATATCAATATGCATAGGTGCCCCACTCAGATAGTACTCCTATATGCGCTTACCAGGGAGTAAGCTCCTTTGAGCATGCCCAGAATTTTTTTGTTTGCTCACTCAGAGACAAAGTGATGTTTTCCAGTATTGGAGAACTAGACATTATAACTCTTCCTATTTACTTTTCTATAGATCAGAATCCACAGATCTTCCTTTGCTTAAGCTGCCTTTGCACTGCAGAATACCTACCATCACCTCCCTCAAAAAATTATAAAACCAACATTCACACTTTCATGTTTCCATTCCAGAAATACATTAATAGGGCCTGTGTAGAAAGACAAGATAAAGATTCCCAATGCCTCTTGGTTAACTGCAAACACAGAAACAAAGAGTGCTAATTCTATCAGATAAAATCGACCTTGGGAGTTCAGTGTTCTGCAGACTGCTTTATTTATTTATCTGTATGTTATTTTTAGAGACGTAAAAATTCTTTAAAACTTCAATTTGGGGGGGGGACAGGGGAAAAAATTTTCTGGGGAAAAAATTGGAAATTTCCATTTATTCATCAATCTAGTCTAAACAATGCTATATATACACATTTTTCCAGGGGGGGATGTTTTTCTTCCCTGCTTTTTTCTGGAAAAAAGGGGAAATTTTCAGAAATGTTACATCTCTAATTATGCACTTACAAAAATATAATGGCAGTAAAAGCTGTGTTACACAAGGTACTCCGCCAGGTGAAACTTTCCATCCTTAAATACACACCCATTCCATGTATAATTTCAATTCTTTTAATTGAAATAATATCAACTGTGGGATGGCATTGTATTTTTAATTGTATTTTAATAGTTTTTACCTTTTTATTGAATTCAAATTGCTGTAATCCGCCCAGAGACCTTTGGATAGTGTGGGCGGCATATAAGTGAAATAAATAGATAAAATAAAATAATTACCGTATTTTTCGCTCCATAAGACGCACCAATTTTTTAGGAGAAGAAAACAGGAAAATATAATCTGTTTTCTTTGCTCCATAAGATGCACAGACTTTCCACCCCCGTTTGGTGGGAAAAAAGTGTGTCTTATGGTGCAAAAAATTGGTGCCACAGTGAGACTACCTGTTGACTTTTTGTCTATCACTGCAGTCTTGCCAGAAAAACTTAATACCTAATACTAGGTTTTATGATCTGCCTTATCTGTCCCACAGTGTCTGCTTTGATCAGCGTCAGCTTCCAAAAGTCTCAGGTAGAGAATCTTTTCCATCTCTCACTGTCTGCACCTTCTAAATAGAGACACTGGGGCCTGAGTAAACGTGATGTAGTGATAATGGCCATCTCACCAAGATCTGGGACACCCAACTTCAAGTCACTCAACTATGAAATCTGTTCCATCACCATGACCTTGATTTGATCACCATTTCTCAACCCTTACAGGAAAAAGAACAGTGAAGCACCACATATCGGTGTCAAAAATGATGAAATTAACACAGGCCCCTTCCCCACACATACTTTTCCACTGAGTTACTGTCTGCCTTTTTAGGAAATCACTCAAAGTCCTTACTCCTAGAAGTGGGAACATTCTGGGTTGGGGGTAATATATTAACCTGAGATGTTCTGTATACAAAATATGTGATGTTCGTAAGTCGAAATGTTTGTAAATAGGGCCGTTCGTAAGTCGAGGGTTGACTGTACTATTGAGATACTGTACAAACCCTCGCTTTAATAACTATCAGTGCTCACTTAGGCAGGTACGTATTCTGCAAGGCAATCTCAAGGATAGGCATTGCCCATGCAGAGCATGTGTTCTGCTGAGCGTCTCCAATCATCATCAATATCATCACCACCAACCCTCATTCCAGTGGGACTTACAACAGTTTAACCCTGTGGTTTTCCACGGGGCTGAAGTCACTTCTATCAAAAGCAATCATTAAATCACTGGCATTCCTCTTGCAAAGGTGAGCAATGGAAAGTAAGCTCTGGGCTTCTTCATGCAGACCAGAGCTTCTGTCCATTCTCCCAAAACGACCAGGCATTAATTGTATAATCATTAATAATAAAAGCTGCCTTGGATCCTTTCTTCGGAGAAAGGCAGGGTAAAAAAAAAAGTTAAATAAAGCAAAATAATGGAACGATGCAATACCATAGTTAAAGCATCAGCCTTTTACCTCTTTGTCGGCTGTTTTTAGTTTAGTTTGAAATGCTTTCAGTGTTTCCTATTTACTTTTAATCTGTTAATTTAATACACGGATGATGGTGCCTTTGTCTTGTTCTTGTTATGGCCGGTGAACCGCCTAAAGTGGCCCTTTGTCAGACCGGTGGCATAAAGATAAAATTAAATTAAATTTAAATAAAAAGAAAGAAAGCAATAAATAAATAAATAAAGCAGCAAAGCAATGAAATGTATTTTTACAGATCATAAAACGTGATTTAATACGCAGCCGCCGCCACCAGTGCTCCTTCATAAATTAACCCAAGATTGTTGCATGAAAAAAAAACACTGTGAAGGCCACTGAATTGAGTCTTCCCTCCATGCCCTAAAAATGAATGGCAGCTGTCACTCAAAATGAGGAGGGACAGGGGAATAAATACATTTGAGACGCTGTCCTTCCCCCCACACACACATTAGAAACTTCCAGCCTGTCAGGAACACAAACCAGGAAGGGAAAAGGGAGGGGGGCACCCCACCCCACACCCTTGTCTGTCAGCTTGTCAATCAATCAATCAATTAGAAGCTGTCAATCAACTCCCAGGTCGGCGACGGTCGGCAAAGACCCAGCTAGGAACCCAGAACTCTGAGAAGGGCTGGAAAGCAACCCCGTTACCCCTTTTACCTGAGCCCAAGTCTCGACTTTTTTCCCTCTTTCAAGCGCCTCAATCCGCTGCCGGGCCCAGAAAAAAAAGATCTTTTTTTCCTTCCAGCCTCCACCCGTATCCCAGAAGCCTCGGCGGGGGCGCTCTAGCCCGCAGAACTCTATGGCAGC